GGCATGCTTGCCTATGTCAAGCTAGTCCAGAGCCGGGAGAAGGAGCTTGGTGTTGATGTGCTAACCCATCAGAAATGGAGCGGTGCTCCATACATCGATGGGATCATTGGTGCCATTCAAAGTGGCAGCAGTTCCAGCAAGAGTATGGGCGAAGGCAATACCGAAGCAGGCTTTTGAGTGCTTCTCACGAAACCCGACATGACACATATATGTTTTTGCCGCGGCCATGCAAAGGCGCCTGGACACCATATGATGATATCAATCTGGATTGCAAAATATTTATCCCAAGGAGAATTCATCTGTAAATATATTTATATTGAAAAGCTGCATTCGACATAGTAGTCCGTAAAGAGGAGGAATCGAGACCAACATTGAAAAAGTAGCAGAATAATCCAGCCTTGCTTAGTCAGTCATTTGCCATGGTTCTGGAGCTAGAGCGTGAAGATTAGGCTCCCAGCGCGCCAATATGCTGAAAAAGCCTATCTCTTATCGATTAGGATCCGAAAAAAATTCGACGAGGCTGAGGAAAAATTGCCTCCAGAACAGCCAGTGAAGTCAGAGGCTGGCGGGCGCAGGCTGATTCAGATTTCTCTCATAGGCTGCCGTCCTCCGCCAACAAACCCCTCCTCCGTTCAGCGATATAATCTTTTTTTGTTGTTTTGTGTCGTACCCCTTGATTCACTCTCCACTCATTCTCGGGCTGCGGTGGCATAGGGAGGGGCACCACCGTGCTTTTTACCTCTCCTTTTCTTTACTTTTCAAGAGTCAAGGCCTCTTGTCTTGTTTTATCTGTTCGCTTTCGTTAGACCTGGAAATTCCGCCTTCCACGGTATTGTGAGCGCAAAGTAATGCCACACCTCGAAAGCCCTCCTTCGCCGCCCGCCATGGCCACCACCGTTGTCCCTTCGAAGTCGAATTTTTCCGGTATCGCTCCAGCGCCCGATGAAGTCAGCAGCATTTTGAAAACCATCGTCGACACCAACTCCGCCCAGACTTCCCTCGACGCCTCCTACACGCTCACGAACCTCCTTGTTCAGTCTGTGGGGATTCGAGGCCTCCTCTCCTATAATCTTATACCGGAGATTAAGAAGGCTGCGGCAGACAAGAAGAATGGCGCCAAACGGGAAAGTGCTATGTTCATCCTCGGGGCCATGTTTGAGCGGTTTCCCCGCGAGCAGCCGCTTAGTGAAGTGATCTTCCTGGTCCAGGACGGCGGCCTCTTCAATCTCGTCCTTGATGGGTTAGCCGATAAAGGCTCTTCTGTCCGTGAGTCGGCGCAGTATGCAGTCGACGAACTATTCAAAAACCTCGCTCCAGAGGCAATGGCTATAGGTCTCCTCCCAGCTTTGCAGTCTTATCTCTCGAAGCCAACGGGAAAATGGCAAGGAACTGTGGGGGCATATAAACTCATGGGAAAGATGGCCGATAAGGCCCAGGTGGGAACAGGCACAAAAGAAGAGGAACAAGCCAAAGATGTTTTGCGGGAGTCCATGGGTAGGACGCTCAAGGAACTAATCCCGATTGTTGAGGGTGGAATGCATGATCTGAAGGCCGAAGTCGCTAAAGCCGCTGCAAAGACCATGACTTCGCTCACTACCCTACTCCAGAACGACGATGTTGCGCCTCGGGTACCCTTACTCATCGATACCATGAAGAACCCGTCCTCCCAAACTCTTCAGAAAGCCATTCACGCTCTTTCTCAAACCACCTTCGTCGCTATCGTCACTTCCCCCGTCCTCGCCCTTCTTACCCCATTGCTGGAGCGATCTCTCAACACTCCAGCTACATCTCAAGAAGTTCTTCGCCAAACAGTGGTCGTCGTGGAGAATCTGACCAAGCTCGTGCACGACCCGGTGGAGGCCAGAACTTTCCTGCCCAAGCTGCAGCCGGGTGTGCAACGAGTTAAAGACAATGCATCACTTCCTGAAGTGAGGGAACTGGCTACCAGAGCCGTAAATGTCATGAAGAAGGCCATGGGTGATGATAGAGATGGTGTGACAAACGGCCAGATTGCCAGAACCACCTCCGATGATGTTCTCAAGGTCCTCGACAGCGGTATCCGAGCACGGGGCGGTCTGCAGAAGGAGGATATGACAGTCTGGAAACGAGGACAGATTTACGTCTCTGAGATGGTGAGAGAGGATGTCAATGCCCGAGCGTTCTCGCGCATCCCTTCTCGAGTTGCTCCATATCTCAAATACATGATGCCAGAGGAGCATTGCGCAGCCATTGCCGGGGATGTGCAGAGGTACTTTGTCGAAGAGGATCACAGGAAATTTGGCGCTCCCATCGTGGAGGATCCAAACGAGGTGGAAATTGTCAATGCAGACTTCTCCCTGGCTTATGGAGGCATGCTATTATTATCTCACACCAATCTACGACTTCTGAGAGGGCACCGATATGGTTTGTGCGGCCGCAACGGAGCCGGAAAGTCCACATTGATGCGAAGCATTTCAGAAGGCAAGCTGGAAGGTTTTCCGCCGAAGGAAGTCCTGAAGACCTGCTTTGTTGAGCACAATCAGGGCGAAGACGCCGATATCAGCATCCTTGAGTATGTGTCGAAGGATCCCGAAATTGCCAAAGAAGGACAGCAGCGAATCTCAGAGGTTCTTAGCGAAGTTGGGTTTACAGGCGGTCCGGAAGGCAGACAGTCCCACAAGGTGGGCTCTTTGTCTGGAGGATGGAAGATGAAGCTGGCTTTGGCAAGGGCTATGCTGATGCGAGCCGATGTTCTCCTGCTCGACGAACCGACCAACCATCTCGACGTGGCAAACGTCAAGTGGCTCGAAGAGTATCTCCAGAAGCATACGGAAATCACCTCATTGATCGTCTCTCACGACTCTGGCTTCCTCGACGCAGTATGCACGGACATTTACCATTACGAGAACAAGAAGTTGGTTCATTATCCTGGCAATCTAGCTGCTTTTGTCAAAGTCAAACCCGAAGGCAAGAGTTATTACACATTATCGGCTACACAAGTACAATTCAAATTCCCTCCTCCAGGCATTCTCTCCGGCGTCAAGTCCAACACGCGATCGATCATTCGAATGACCAATGTTAGCTATACATATCCCGGTGCGTCGAAGCCCAGTTTGACCGATGTTTCGTGCCAGCTCAGTTTGTCATCCCGAGTGGCAATCATTGGGGCCAACGGCGCCGGCAAATCTACTTTGATCAAACTGTTGACGGGCGAAACCATTCCTCAGTCGGGGAAGGTGGAAAAGCATCCTAATCTGCGAATTGGCTACATCAAGCAACATGCTTTGGAACACGTCGAGATGCACTTGGAGAAAACGCCGAATCAGTACTTACAGTGGAGATATGCCAATGGGGACGATCGAGAAGTGTTGATGAAAGCCACGCGGCAGCTTACTGACGAGGATAAGGCGCAGATGGACAAATGGATCGACCTCGGAGATGGAAAGGGTGGCAGACAGGTTGAGAATTTGATCGGCCGACAAAAGTACAAGAAGACATTCCAATACGAGGTGAAATGGCGGGGTATGCTTCCAAAATTCAACACGCAAGTCTCGAGAGAGACGTTGCTGGACTGGGGCTTTCAGAAGCTAGTTCAAGAGTTTGACGATCATGAGGCATCTCGCGAAGGTCTGGGTTATCGTATCCTGGAGCCCAAGGTGATTGCGAAGCATTTTGAGGACGTTGGATTAGATCCCGAGATCGCCAACCACAATGAAATCTCGGGATTGAGTGGTGGTCAAAAGGTCAAGGTCGTGTTGGCAGGCGCCATGTGGAACAACCCTCACTTGCTGGTCCTGGACGAGCCGACCAACTTCTTGGACCGAGATTCACTGGGAGGTCTGGCCGTTGCTATCCGTGACTACAAGGGCGGTGTTGTCATGATCAGTCATAACGAGGAATTTGTTGGGGCCTTGTGTCCGGAACAATGGCATGTGGCTGATGGAAGAGTGACACACAAAGGCCACCTTGCCATTGACCTGAACCGGTTTGAAGACTCACGGCCGGGTTCCAGCAACGTCAGCTCCGCTGTGTCTAGTGCAACTGCTTCCGCGGTCAACTCGGGTGTAGAGGACAACAGCGAGATGAAATTCAAAGCGAAGAAAAAAAAGAAATTAACAAGAGCCCAGTTGAAGGAAAGAGAAGTGAGAAGAAGATTGAGACAGTAAGTTTGACTCTCCCAACCAGGCATTTGATATATGCTAACAATCTGGTATCAAGTATCGAATGGCTCAATTCGCCTGCTGGCACGCCTCCTCCTGTGAATTCCGACACGGAGGACTGAGAACGAAAAGGAAAATGATATGCGACTTCTGAATATGACACGGCATCGTACGGCGTTCTGGCATGAATCATCGAAAATAGACTGGGCGTCTGGAAAGAGACATTATAGACTTATGCATGCTCGATTGATGAATCTAGAAGTGAGCGTGAATTTTGTTTATATTGTGGATTGAAAACTGACTTCGTGTTGATATGGGGAACGCCGCTGAGAGAATACCCCTGTTTAATAAGACAGGCATATTCAACCTTTCATTTAGATTGCCTCGTGATTGTCGCTGCTCGCCAGCGGGCTTTTGCATCTGCAGATCGTACTCCTCCCAACGGTGTCCTTAACGAACAATTGATGTTTCATACTATTTGGCAGGGTCGAGATATCTCTGTAACACATTTCCCTGGACCGCCAGTATGGCGTTAGACAGCAACCAAGGGGAAAGCCACCTCACCATACAGCTCAAGGCACTGGCAACGTCCAAGACTTACGAAGAAATTTCTCGTGCTAGCCTGTTCTGAGTGTTTGTTCATCACCAAATTCTGGTTCGGCATAAGAGTGGCGATGATGACAGGCATCAACTCTCGTCGCTCTGTCTTGCTCGTCTACGGGATCACGTTGGTCGACGGCACTGCTGGTCCGCCTTGCAGACTCTAGAGTACCAGTTACTTTATTAGCGTCTGTTTCTATACCACATAGTGCGTGTCACATTCTTTTCAGCTCTTTTCTCTTCTAGTCATCGTTGTCCTCCTTACTTCCCGATTCTAATCTTCCCCTTTGCACCCAAAACCCCATCGAGAGCCTCATCCCAGCTATCTTTGATCCCCCCACATATCGTCTCCATCATGACTTCGTCACAGAGACTTTCCATCAAACTCTCCCATTTCTCATCACCAGGCAACAAACGGTCTACTTCGGTACCACTCCCATCGTCACCGCTGCCACGTCGAACCATGCCCAGATCTACAAGCTTACCCAACACGCCGGGCTCGTTAATGGCCGATTTCAATTCGCGGGCTTCTCTGTGGATCTCGCCCTCAAGTTCGACCACAACCGACTGTATTTCAGATATCATCTCCTTGGAAATCGGTTCGGAAACGGCCTTGGAGGATTTGGCCTGCTTTTGCGGTTTCTTGGATACGAAGGAAATGAGGTTGGCGATGACTTGCAGCGTCTCGAGTTGTGTGAAGCTTCTGTGTAGATCTTCCCATGTTGGCACGCGGATCCCTGCGATGCTTGATCCAGCAGGATTGTCCCTGTGGTCCGTGAGGGTGGATGAAAGCCAGCCTTTGAGATCCGAGAGGAGATCTGGAAGAGTTTTGGTTTTGTCTTGTCGAGATGCAGGAGCGGTGCTGATACTTCCCTCTTTGAACATAACTATCGCTTGGGCGAGAATCCTGTGGCATTCCAGGTTTGTTCGTTCGATTTTTGTCATTTCCGCTGGTGTGTCCCGTTCAGCCGTGGACCATGATAGGCGTTTTTGCGCCTGCTTCAGATTGTCGTATGCCGTAGCTGCCAACGAAGTTTGCGACGCCAGTTCTACTTTCAAATAGGTAGCCACGCTGTCAAAAAGCGCCATGGCATTAATCCATCTTTCTTTCGGGAGAGGTCCACATCGAAACTTCGCCAGTAACTGAGTATCATCGTCGCGATAGTTAGGCATATACCCAAAATCCCGCTTGTCCACAAGTGCCTTTGAAGAATCGGTTAGCGGCAAGATCGTGTGGTCGTAAGGCTCCTCCCGCCAGCGTCGGATTTTCCGTTCCTCGATGGCATAGATGTGTTTATTCATGCTGCCTTCGATGTCCGAACGCATCTTGACGCTGTTATAGATGTTTGAGTAGCTGTTGAATCTCAACCCTTCACGGATTCCTCGCACCAAGGCACTGTCCGCATTCTCGAGAACTGTCAATCCTGTTTCGAGGGCCAAAAGTGGTTCAAAATCCTGCTGCAATTCCGCAGTAGGGGCTGGGTGCAACGATGATATTCTTGTGAGGATCAAATGACCAGCTGTTTCCCATTGAAGATTCTTGACACTGAGTTTCACAAAGTTCTCCATACCCAAGGAGAGCAGTCCGAGATGAGACTGGAGCTGAACAAGCAGAATCGTCAGAATATAATAATCCTCAAACTTTGAGCGGGCAATTTGAAGAAGAATTGCGGCGAAGATGGCGACTGACGGTGAGCTTTCGTTGTTACCGAGTCGGAGGATTGCCAGAACTGCGAGAAGAGCAGCCTCAGGGCATGGAGGGCTTTCGGACAGAGAAGTCTGGTATCTTTGTAGCGTCCTGCGTGCAAAAGCGAGAAGGTCCGATTGGGAAGCATCAGGTGGAAGTGAGCTGTACGAAAGCATTAGGTTGAACAGCTGTGCTAGGTTCCCTTCATGGTCAGAAACTGTTTGCTTGAATCGGTCGAAACGAGGCTGGTCAAGTCGCCGAAGAGGTCTCTTCAAATCGTCGAAACAAAATCCTTTGGATGAAAACGCTTCAAAATACTCTTTGCAAGTTTCAAGTAGAGCGTCTAGCTCTGCTTCGTCGTTCCGAGTTCGCTGAAGATTCAACTTTGCGAGGTAAGCCGCTCGGACAATCGGCCTGATAGTGCAAACAGAATCAAGGAGCTCTTTGGATTTTGCCCCCAGCCTGCATCAATGTCAGCACTGCTCATTCATGTGTTGTCCTCTGGCCGGCTTACTCGTTGCACGACAATTTGGATCGTGATGTCGCCCAAAGGTTCCATATCCGGTCATCCGACTGGTGTTCAGATTTCGACAGCAGATTCTGACATACATTGAGAGCCTCGTCCCATTGTTCCGAAACTTCCAGAGATTCGAGCAGCAAAGTTAGTACCAACTGAGGATCCTGCTTGCCGATCCGAGATTCCATGTTCAAGGATGGTCCCTGCAAAAGCTTGACAGACTCCTGAACATGGCCCGTGGAATTGAGAACCTGTACCAATAACGCAATCTCCTCCGGCACCGAGATCGCCTTTCCGGAGGACGAGGCTTCCTCCTGTTGACATGTTAGTCTTCAAAAGCCTCTACCAATGCCTAATCCAAACGCACCTCGTTCTTAGGTACTGCTTCGGCGAGTTTTGATATCATGCGGTATGCAAGCGTCCCAAACAGGGTGCGGTCCTTGTCAGGAAGGTCTTGTTGCATGTGTATCAGATAGCACATGAGGATATTCCAGAAGTCGTAGTCTCTTTCCTTGGAGAAGGAATTCCGCAAACCCATGGTGGCCTGTCGGATGGCCCCATGTCAGCCAGCCCTTCTTTGCTGTTTTATGGGTTGATGGCCATGTTGATTTTCACACCTTTTGAGCACTCCTCCAGTTGTTATCTGCCACTGCTTGGTTGAGCCATCTCATATACAAATCCTTATCATCCTTGTTGGCACTGAGGGCTCTTTCCCAGAGTTTGGGGCTCTCTTCGTGTAGCGACAGACTTTTAAGTGCATGTTGGAGTTGGTAGATGGCCTCTGGTTCTGTAATGGGAGGCGTGCGCTTGCACAGGTCGAAGACCTCTCCTCGGCCTCGGTCATGTTGGGCTTTGTCTTGTTGGTTGACAAGGACGAAGGCTTTCAAGGCCTGTCACGGTTAGAGAGGTGCCAACGCAATGAGTGAGACCAAGGGCTCTTACCAGAAACCTGTCAGATCGTTCGCCCTTTTTGAACCATTTGTCGCAAAGTTGTAGCGCCTGCTTCCAGTTTGCGCTCGCAATAGCATCTTGAATCGGACGTATTCTTCGCTCGCTGACACTCGGATCGGACATGTTCACGGGTAAAGGGGCCATGCCTCGAGAAGAAATTATGAGAGCAAAGGGATGATGCGGGGAAAAGTGCGGACGAGGCTGAAATTTGATATTATTGCGGCCCCTGGAATGGGAAAAGTGAGCTTCATATACCGAGTACGGAGTAGTATTAGCCAACGCACGATCAGGCTTGCCTCTTCCCGGTCTCTAATCCAGGGTATTTGAGTGAGTGGCAGGCAGGTGCCTCAACATTCTCAGCTGCTCTTACAGTGCCTTCAGTCGTTGGTCAGCGCTCGTATCTAGTCAAGCCTGTTGAAATTCCTGTTTTGTTTTTGTCCTTCATGTATTCCGACGCTATGCTTTGACAGAGGGTATCAATTCTGCTTTTGTACAGTCTTTGCATTCCACCCGACAGCACCCAAAGATACCAAGCAATAGTCCAGGTCCTCACCCAAACCACGAACCCGTCTCAGCTCTTCGCCTCGCAGTCTGGCCCTTTTCATCAACTTTTTGCGTGGAACCGTTGGATCGGAGTTGTCATACCCATTCTTTCTTGCAGTCGCGGTAAGCCCTGTGCGTGCAACCCTGATGTCAGCCTGGTTCTGAGCCACGATGCGCAATTGATGTAGACTGGAAAATTCTGGTCCCTGCCCAGGCGGCGTCCGCTCTCTTGGAAAGGGAATACACACTTGAAGTAATCCTGACACATCTCCCGGTCCCCTTTGTTCCTGTGCATGCATTTGATGCTTCTGTTCGCGAACTCCTGGCAAGGATCGTAGTACTCGGAACTTCGTTTCCTGCCCGCCAAGACAAACGAACCCACGGGTTAGTCTTTCCATGTCTCAGTCATGAATAAACCGGAGTGCTCGTACGATTGAAAAGTCGCTTTTGATTTTTCCCAGGCATCAGCTTGTGAATCTGAAGCTACAGCCTGATCTGATTGCGCAGAAGCAGCCATGTCGGTGGTCTCTAAGAAAATACTGTTTAGGTTAATGGGTTGGTGGTTTTGCAGGAGCTGCAGGTAGTGGATGGAGAGCGGCGATCATGACTGATGCTGCGAACGTGAGCTTGCGCTGTGCGGTTTGAGGACACAGGCGGCGCTAACCTTGTTTCGCCTGACAGGGAAGCTCTTGCCGGGCTGCGGCAGGCGAGGCAACCACGCAGCGTGCGTTATCGATAAGCCATCCTCGCTAGGGGCGAGGGGCTAGGGGACCTAGGGGGCCTAGCCCCCTCTACCTAGTCAAGCCCAATACTGGGTACTGGGTACACAGCTCGACAGTACAAAATGTAAGAAAGTGGTGCTCGGTTGAGTCCGTCTTTACCCCTCCTCGGCCCTCTTGCCCTCGCATGTCCCCCAGCCTCAGGGAGCCTGAGCCTCATCCTCTATGCTGCTCCATGTCTGAATGCTGCACAGCTCAGCCAATATATAGCTCGAGGAGACCAGAAATGAACTCCCCTCAGCTTGAGAACATCCTTTTCTGCCTAACCATCACCCAATCAGCGAGCAACCTCGCTGCGAATCGCCAATTTTGACCGTTCCATACTAGTTTCCTATCATATAGTACCCGATTGGGAAGCAACACGCCTTGACCGATCTGCATGAGCCTTTGACATCTACTCTTGCCTACCATCGTCACCAAATATTGAGCACAAAGCACAAAGGACATTTGTGTCGATCCCTCTGCCGAAGGATATCGATGCGGAATCGACATCGATGGACCCATATCCCTCAGGTAGGCCGGACCCTCTAATCTACAACATCAATATGACCAGCAAGGTTGATTCAAAGGTCACAGATAGCTCTCGGGGGTCGAATCTTATGAGTGGCCAAATAGGTCTCAAGCAGTCTCCAGGGACAGCGCAGCTCTTGCAGCTCCTAAGACATCCCAGCCCATTGCCATTTTTGGTCAACAGATCCATCCACCACCTTACGGCGGGGTTTGTCCACAACCACCAACTTCAGTAAGCGATGATGCATTGTCGGGCCCCTTATGCGTGTACTGTTGGCTGCGACATGAATAATGGGAATCATGTTAGGCGTATTCACGGGTCACACCGACATAAAACTGGGTTCCCTCACCACACATGTTGGCGGCTATGGTCCCAAAAATCGACAGCTAGCCGCCATCTTCTTCACCTTCGTGCTCCACGATACACGTAGCCAAGGTCATGTCAACATGTCGTATGCATTTTTGTTCACACCGTTTCGAGACCGTTGGGTGGAGGACCATCGGGGTGGAATCGGTGTGGCCAGAGAGAAAAATCAACAGGTCCCTATCCGCACATGTCAAAGCTGATAGGATCCAGGCCCATCACTGCTATTGCGGGAAAAAATGGATGGAACAGCAGGCAGTGATTTTAATCCAAACACAGCAACAATTTCCATTCATGAGGGAGAGGGAAAAAAAAGGTGTCGTCTGCGGTGATTGCGTTCTGACTGTCTCCACAGGCTGTTTCGCGGACATCCCCCAGCTTTCGCCAAAGGGCGCCTTCAATAACCTGGCTGGTGGGAGCTATCCTCGGTCCACACATATTGACCAAGTCCAGGTCAAGGCCTTCCCGATAGGTAGGTAAATGATAAGGATAGCTTGCCAGCTGATAAGAAGCCCCAAATGCTGAGCGAATTGTGACACTGCGGACAGTTGTTGACCTGCAGTTGGATGTCTGGCTTCCCTCGATCCAGAACAGTGTCCGTCAATTCTCGTATCTGGTGGAGTATTATGTACTTGCTTGCAACATCTGATGCCATGAGCTAGCAATCGCCTGTGCGAAGGGTTTCCCCCATTCAACCCTCATCCGGATTCACGGGAGTGTCTGACGTTGGCCTGGTCATTTCGAAGCTGCTTGGAGCCACATACACTTTACCTAGGATGGTTGACGTTTGCTGAAGAGTGACAAAAAGGGCTTTGATATAAGTTTGTTCCTTTGTTTGCGTGAATACACACCCCATTGCCCTCAATTGCTTTGCGACCTTTGTCTTCTCTTCACGAAACGATAAACATCCGATTACGTTGCTTCATTTGTTGGCCTTGTACCTTCTTCACTGCACTTACCTACTTCGTTGTTAATCTTTCCCAGGGTATATAGACAACCTCAAGTGCGATGGCTTCAGCAGACGTACTTACTCCTCAATCATCCGCTTTTGGTACCGTCAAGAGGAAAAGATCAAGTTCACACAGCAACATGGCTCCCAAAGCCCTCAAAGGACCTACCTTCGACCCTGAGAAGCATCTCAATTACCAGCCGCCCAGCAAGATCTGGACCATGAAGGAGATTGGGTTTGCTGAGAAGGGAGTGTCACCCAATGCGGTATCAGAGCCTTTTCCCCTTTTCACTAAAGAGGCCATTCAGCAGATGAGAGCTGAGGTCCTCAGCAAGCCAGTTTGGGACAACTGCAAGTACTCCAGCGAACTTGCCCACTGCCAGCTCCGAGGATTTGCTCCCGAGTGAGTTCAATCTTTGGCGCTGTCCCGGAACGGTAGACTGATGAGAACAGATATGCACCATTCGTATACGATGCCTGGCGAAGCCCTGCGGTTCTCGCAATTGTGTCCAAAATCGCTGGTGTCGAGCTTGTCCCTGCCATGGACCTTGAAATTGCTCATATCAATATCTCGGGCAACACCCGGGAACAAATCGAAGCAGTCAAACAGGCGTTAGAAGAGAAGTCTCATCGAGAAGCAGACGAAGGCGTTTCTGGGTGTCCCTATGAAGACGATCAGCCCATAGTCGACTGGCACACCGACAGCTATCCTTTCGTTTGTGTTACCATGCTCAGTGACTGCACCAACATGATTGGCGGTGAGACAGCATTGAGAACGGGCACTGGAGAGATCATGAAAGTCCGTGGTCCTGCGATGGTAAGTCGCCAAATGAGACACCACGCTATATTCTCCTCGACTGACAATGATGCAGGGTAATGCCATCGTCCTTCAAGGTCGATACATCGAGCACCAAGCTCTGCGTGCTCTGGGAACCACGGAACGCATCTCGATGGTGACCTCATTCCGGCCCAAGTCGGCATTTATCAAGGATGACACTGTGCTGACCACCGTGCGTCCCATCTCAGACCTCAGGGAGCTGTACTCGCAGTATGCTGAATACCGGTTTGAGATGCTTGAAGAGCGCGTTCGAGCACACTTGAAGGAGATCAGGGAGGGCAAACGAGCTCGTCGCTTCGACACCAAGGCCACCAAGGCATTCATCAAGGAACAGAGGAACTTTCTGGACTCGATGCTACATGAGCTTGTTGATGACGAAATGGTCACTGCCGGTATCTTGGACAGTGAAAACCACTTGTTCAGCGATGAGTTGATTGTGAAATATCGCAAGAAACCCAGGCTGTAAATGGACGATGGGGCATCAAAAGTGTTGTAGAAGGATTCTGAGCAACGACAGACGGGACACAAAATTCGTCTTCAAGACTGTGCTGAATGGGAGTGAGTTGGTGGGATAAGGTATTTTCGATAAGCCCTCGTTTTTGATGTTGTCGTTGTTGTTGCAACAGGTGAGAATCCCTTCTTTCAAGGACCTGCCTGCGAGTTGTGTATACTGCGTACATCTTGAGGAAATGTCGAAACCGATACATATTTTCTAGCGATTGAGAAGTATAGAACATTCATTTGGTCGAATATACGCGGAGTTCTCCTCCCAGTTCTCGTCCAACATGTCTGTATCTTTTGATCCCAACTTGAGATTTTCATGGTGTGTGCAGTCTTTTCCGCAGGGTAGGCGATACCCATGTATGGAAAAGACGTCGTGGTTCACAGAGAGTGTGCGCATAAACGACACTAGCGAGCCATATCCTGAAGATTGTAGCTGGGGCTAAGGCCAGGTGTCGTTCGGTAGAGATGATAGAAGGAGGAGCAAGAGGAGGCCAGAAGTCAAAGTTCCGGGTGCTTGGGTGACATGCACGAGGACGCAGGACAGGAAGCAGGCAGTTTGCCGGGTCCTGGGTGCTGGCTTGTCAATAATGCACATGCGTAGCGTCTCCAACCATGACTGACACTGTTTTCCTGCCT